GGTGAGGAAGGAGGAGAACCACCGCATAACAGTGCCTCCCACTCCTAACCCACCCAAACGTTGCAGCATGATACCGTGGTCCACGGTATCAAAAGCCGCTGAGAGGTCCAAAAGAACAAGGACAGAGGAATAACCCCTATCCCGGGCCCTCCAGAGATCATTGACCAGCGTGACCAATGCCGTTTCCGTGCTGTAACCCAGCCTGAAGCCCGACTGGAACGGGTCCAGATAGACATGAATATGAATAAACAAACAAATATTGTAAAAAACTAGGCAAATGTAAAAAGGCCCACCTGTCCATCAGTGAGAACAGTCCAATAACTACATATAAATTACTTTTAAATTATCTTTAAAATATGGCCCTTAATCAGCTGTTGTTTAAAAGAATCATGAAGATCTGGTTCTTTTGCGAGGGTGATCAAGACCCCCTCAGTTCACCGTGCTTGCCGTTTTTAATCTTTATCTTTTATGCCTTATTGATTTTATTGCAATGTCTTTATTGGATTGCTGTGAGCCATCCAGAGTCTGGTGAGATACAAGTTTAATAAATTATATGTGTAGTAACAGTTTGTTTTCCCCCTGGAAGGCAAAAGGTTTGCTGTGGAATTATTTACAAAGGTCGCTTTGGAGAAGTCCTTATAGACACCCATCTCTTCAAGCCCTGCTGTCGTAATAAGCAGCCTGCAACCGAGAAGTCTCCACCGCCAGTTCCTCCATCCTCCACCATCACCAATCAAGAAGAGTGGTGACTTCCTTAAAGAGGTGCAGAGGGGGACAGATGACACCTCTTCTGCCATCTGTTGAAGTGGCCTTCTTTTTACTTTGGAGACCTGCTATGCTGCCAAAAGACTTTTTTCCCCCTTGAACTGTCTGAAGATTTTTTTTTTTTTACTGCATCAGTTCTACTAATTCAGAGTCCCTTGATATCTTTTCAGAAAAAGACTAAGGAATATTGCAAATGGGCTAGACCACATAATGAAGCTGAAAGCTGCTGTGTTTCATCTTTGTTCAGCCTTGTTCCCACCCTGTTTGTCTCGGAGTGAATGGCTGGAAGGCTGTCAACTATGTGGAGCAGGGGTGATTGCAGCGTATGGTTAAAAAAAGAGATGGTGGCCACAGTAGCACAATCAAAGCTTTGCCTCTTTTTATGTTTAACATTGATTAAAAAAAGGAGAAGAGTCTTCCATTGCATTATTAGGGTTTCCATCTTGACTTTTTTTAAATCATACTCTGCAGACACCCCTGATATAGAGTATGTATTTTTGTCATAAGCAGTGTTCCTGCCTGGCATGATAAATTTTAGGTAGCCATTTTTTCTCTCTATGTGGAGGGGAAACATAATGATGACTCTAAGGTAGTCTTCCCCAGTATAGTGTCCTTCATCGATTCTGCTCTTCCAATTCTCAGTATTTGGAGCTTTTATATCAGGGGTATCAAACTGGCAGCCCGCGGGCCGGATGTGTCTCGCACAGGCCATGCCCACCCCAGCTCCGCAAAGGCAAAAAACATCACGATATGTCATGTGACATGATCTAGTTTGACACCTGTGCTTTATATAGTTGGGAATTCTGGAGTTGAAAGGCTTGTATTTCCAGAGGGTGGCCATGTTAGTAAGGCAGAACCATGGCATGAATTTGGATACTGAAGTTTATATAAGACTTCTCTACCATGTATATGATGTAAAGTTTGCGGCGTTCTTAATTCTTACTACTGATGCTTCAGAAACGATAAAGATGTTTAACTTGACTTACTATTTCTGGATAGTAAGAATGTATGTGTGAATAGACAGGATGCATTTGACAAGCAAAAGTAGCAAGTGTGAAGGTGGATCAGACCAAGGGGTGGTATCACTATCTTAAATCATAATTTTCCCCACAAATAAGATTGCAGGTAATTTATGCAAGGAAACAGTTCTTTCATAATATTTTAGGATGGGCAACAGGTGGTCCTTCAGCTGCTAGATTGCAGCTCCCACCATCCTTAACTGTTGGGCAGATTAGATGCAGTTGACTGCAGTAGGAGCTCAACAACATCTGCAGATCCATATATTATTTTCCAACAGAAAAGCCATAGTAGAAATGTTTTCCATTTGCATAGGGATTGAACAGTAATATGAAGTAAACACAGTGCTATAATGACAAAACCTTCTTTAATTACCAAATAAGTTTCCCTTACAGATATAAACCTGTGTCCACTTTTTCAGAGTGGGAACAGCTGTCTATTATCCATTCATAATAGTAGTTCTTCAATTGGCCTATGGGATTAGAACAGTGATGGCGAACCTTTTAGAGACTGAGTGCCCAAACTGCAACCCAAAACCCACTTATGCATCATCGAGTGCTGGGTGGGTGTGGCCCTTTGAGTGGGCGTGGCTGCAGTGGTAACGGCAGACTGGGTAGGACTAAAAAGTTCAATCAATCAATTCCAACTTTGCAAGATCTTTTTTTTCCCGCAAGAAGTTGAAATTGATTGATTGAACCTTTTTTTTTTTTTTTGGCCATGGCGGCAGAGGCCTAAAGCGAAAAGGTTTTATAAAACCCAGCTGAAGGCCTAGGACTGGGGCAACGGCGCGCGTGCCCACAGAGAGGGCTCTGAGTGCCGCCTCTGGCACCCGTGCCATAGGTTCGCCACCACTGGATTAGAACCATACCACATATTTTAGTAAGTTTTTCCTTTTGTTTGAAAACTTCAAAGGAAGGCCATGTTGACAAATTTCAGGTTTAGTTCTTTTCATTCCCTTCTCTCTCTATGTTTTGAATTATATCCTCCATAAATGTGTTTATAACAACTCATGGCATTCTTATTTCCACACCAGTAGTTCAGCCTGACTATTGGTTGGAATCAACCATTGATCAGACTTGCTAGATATGACAGGAGCCCATACACCAGCCTTGAGGAAATTGAATTATGTAATATATTCTCTTAAAACATTTCACAGATTCACTGAATGCCTGCAGAGAGACCCACATACAGATTCATGCAACCTAGCCATAGTAAATGTTACTCATCATTCTTGAATCTTTGTCCCAGCTGCTACCCCTCCTGGAATTTTCATTTGCCTCTCCTTATCCAAAAGTGCCTCCAGCTGTTGTAGCTCCTCCTTTGCCCGATTCCCAAAAGAGAGCTAGTTAACATCCCTAATGATTACCCCTAATTTGATATCAATATCTCATGTCCCAAAAGCTTGAAAAACAAGTTTTCTGGTTTCCCCCACAACACTTCCGTGTGAGTCCCTTTAGTGACTCCCAAGTTCCTACACATCCCACCATTGCTTTTAGGCAATGTCGCTGTAGTTAATTATTGTGAAATTCAGTAAGGCTCTTGCCTTATGTCAGAATTGCTTCAGAAATAAGGTAAACTGAAGCATTATGATTCCTGGCTTGGTTTTATTTTATTTTATTTTATTTTTACTGAAGCTCTTGATTACCCAGGAACAGCTTTCTGTTAAACGTGGCTAATAGGTGATTGCCTGCTTTTGGGGATCAAAATAATGGCTTCCTTGCAAGGGTTCTGCTGCTTTCAATTTTTGTTTTACTTCATTTGAATAGCATGAGAATTTCGACTTGATTCTGCAGCGCACTGTTATGAATGTGCCTGGGATTTTTTTTAACTGAACAATGAAATCTTAGTTGTGCTATGTCAGACAAATATGACTATGAAACACTGTCTTCCTACTTTTATAGGGTACCCTCAATTGCCTTTCTTCTGTCCCTATCCCCTATTGTAAATAGGAGACTTATTCTAAAGGGAGGATAAAATAGTTTTTCCCCCCAGACTGACCTAATGCCTTGGCAGTTTTGCTGAGTTGGTAAACTCTGAAGGATGCATGTAGGCATCTTGATTATCTTTAATTTCTTGGTTGATACTTATTCTAATCAATATTGGTCAACATTTCTGTGCATTTACAATTACAGTATGAATTATATGTAACTATAATATGGATCATCTCTTCTTCTGTATTTATTTATTTATTACTACTACAGCAGACTGTTCCTCCCTTTCCCTCTTCCTCAAGTAGTAATGCAAGATGAATTGTATGTAGTTATGCACTTTTATCAATGTAGTAGAAATCTATGGAATCTGTTTTTATACTTTTTATATTGTTTATATACTTGTAATCCAACCTTTTTTTAAACTAGGGTAACAAGCAAATAAATGAATAAATAGATTTATCTAGGGGGAAAAAGTGTATTCTTTCCTGCTGTCGACTTTAGTGATCTCATGGGTGTCAGCTATTTTGAAAAGCGAGTAGAAGGCACAAGAGAGTTATGATTAAGCTTGCTCAATTTAATACTCCGATTCTATGTATTGATTCATAGAGTGAAGGACTGAATATTTGTGATACAAAAAAAACAAGTTGTGGGGGTCTCAGAATTTTCCAAGAGATACTTAAGAAATGGTAGACAATTCATTAACCGTCTTGATGGCTATTTACAGTGCAAGTAGCTCTCAACGTACAACAGTTTGTTTAGTGACTTTTCAGTACAATGGCACTGAAGAAGTGACTTATGACCACTTTTCACACTTATGACCGTTGCAACATCCCCATGGTCATGTGATTTACATCTGTGTGCTTGACAATGGTTCATATTTATGACAGTTGCAGTGTCCTGGGTTCATGTGAACACCTTTTGCAATCTTCTGACAAGCAAAGTCAATGTGGAAGCCAGATTCACTTAACAACCTTGATACTAATTTAACAACTGCAGTGATTCACTTAACAAATGTGGCAAGAAAAGAAGAAGGTTCCTGAATGCATCTGGTCCCCGGAACTCTTAATGTTGGAACAGATAGTCTTTCTGGCCAAATAAGAACCCAAAGGATTACTTATGATCTCATTTGCCTTCATAATATTTTGTGGAGAATCCTATTCGCTGAAGTAGTTGGCAATCACTTTGCATATATAAAGAAATGCTATTTAGGAGTAGTATCAATCAACCACTTGGAGATCATATAATCAATATGATTATATGCTATAAGATTATCAATGAGGAATCTCAGGAATGTAAGGGACACTTCACTTCAGCCTTGCTCAGTACAGGAATTGAAATTAAAACATCTTTGACAAGTATCTATACAACTTCTGTATGAATAAATCCAATACAGATGTGGCCACCAGTTTTTGGTATTCAAATTGCTATTATTATTAGAACATTTTTTTTATCAAAGATGGAGATGGAAAGCACTTTTGCTCTGATTTTGAAATGAAACTAGGTTTGCAGTCCATCTTCTCAGATCATGGCAAAAACTGGGGAGGGACTTTTCCTGAGCAAAGTTCTTGTTAAATGTTCCTGATCTCAATTTTCATTTTTATTAATAGAAATTGAACCAATTTATTATTTATTTCACATTTTGACTGAGCAGGAATATCTATGGCATATAAGGATCACACTTCTGTCTGTCTTCCTTATCTGGTGAAGTGCTAAAACATTGATTCAGAACTTGAATTGCTTGCTTCCTTAGATGTTTAAGGAGGAAAACAGTAATGGATGCTGTTTCTACCACATACAAAGATTGCAAGCAATCTCTGCCAACAATGTAATGTATTTGTGTGATATATGTATCACAAATTTCTCAATCCTGAATTTGTTCCCTCAAATACTGAAATTACCAAAAATCAGTGCTGTGAAAAATGGTTGTAAGTTGCAATGGCAGAACTGTCAAGACTATGAGTACTGTTGTCTGGAGATATCTTTCTTTTAATAAAACTGGAATAGTTCTGATCTAGCTGCTAAGCTTTATTGCTTTA